CAGAATGGGCATGACATTAGATTCCTCAAAGCATTCAAGGGAACCATGTGCATGTCATACTGAGCAAGGTGTCTGGCACATACTATACATTTAATAAATGCTGCTTCTTTTTCCCTTTCCAATACATATGGAGCCAGTAGCCATATCTGGGTTTGATTCTAGGCTTTGCCACTGGTCAGCTGCATGGTCTTCAGCAAATCATTTCCCTTCTCTGGTTCTTCCTTGTACCCTCTGTAAGATGGAGCTAACACTCCCACCTGCCAGGGTTGTTGTGAAGTCACACTCTCAGGGCCTGTACTGGGCACACAGTAGGTGTGCAGGGAAAATAGTGATGCCCCCCCCGCCATGTTCCCCCCCAGCTACCACCGGAAACTTCGGGCTATGAAGGCCCGGAAGACAGCGGCGGGGGTGATGCCCCCAGTCTCTGCCATCCCCGGGACTAACGTGTACAACACTGAGCGGTAAGTGGGGGTCGAAGGATGGGTAAGAGGCCCCATGGGGTGGTTGAGGCCCATGGTCGCTTGACTGTGCCTTCTTGCCAGTGCCAACCCCGTGCTGAACCTCCCCACCAAGGACCTGGGCTTCGAGTCCCAGTCTTCCTCCAGTGACTTGGACCACGTCAGGTGAGCGGTGCTGGTTGGTAGTGGTAGTCATGGTGGTGGTAATGGTGACCGTGACAGTGATGGTGGTGATGGTGATGGTGGTGATGGTGGTGATGGCGATGGTGCCGCTGATGATGGTGGTAGTGGTGATGGTGACGGTGGTGGTAATGGTGGGTGGTGATGATGGTGGTGATGGCAGCAGTGGTAATGGTGATGGTGGTGGTGATGGTGGTGATGGTGGTGGTGATGGTAGTGGTGGTGAGGTGGTAGTCGAGGTAGTGATGATGATGGTGGTGGTGACGGCAGGGGTAGCTGTTGGCCAGAGACAGGGAGGGCTGGGCCTGCCAACTCTCTGAGCTCCATTATCTCCCTTTCAGCCTCAACTCCCTGGATGACAACTCTGTGGATCTGGAAAATAGCAGGCAGGAAATCAAGGCAAGATGGGGGATGAGTTGATGCCTGGGGCTTCTGACTTGGGGCTCTTCCCTGAAGGGGTGGGTTTCAGGACAGAGCTGGAGGGACCTCCTGCTGCCATGGGTGTGTCTGCATCTGGCCCTGGGAAACCCCACGGCTTAGGAATGGGGCCCGATCCTTGCTCCTCTACTCATTAACTGTGACCCTGGGTGGGTGAATTCTTCCCTCTGGTTCTCAGTTTTCTCATCTATAAATGGGGATCAGAACACCAAATATGCAGGACTGCTGTGAGGATGAAATAAGAGTGGGTATAAAAACGATCTGGCATAAAACGAGTGGTCAGGAATCTGGTTCCCCCCCTTTATATTCTTTATGTAAAAGCTGGTGGGGCGGGGGAAGGAGATGCAGAGATGAAGACGATCTAGCCAGGGAGCAAAGGCAGGCTCAGATGAACAACAGTACCATCATTTGTTCAATAGGTTAGTTGGTTCAGTTAGACCAAGCATTTGTGCAGCCTGGGCTGCTGACTGGAATCATGTGGGGAGCTCTTTGGACCTGAGGATGCCAGGTCACAGCTCAGAGATTCTGATCAGGTGGCTGGGGTGGGCCTGGGCACCACCTGCTAAAGCTGCTAAAGCTTCTGAGGTTCTAATGTGCAGGCAGGAGTGAGAACCACAAAAGTAGGAGAGTAGATCAGAGGGCTGAATGGGGGATGGGAGGCCAGAACCAGAAGGAACTACCCTCTCCTTCCCACTCTGAAAACCACCACTGGAGTAGAAGCTCTAAGACCCACTGAGCTTGAATAGTCTGCCGTTCTGTGTGTGTGTGTGTGTGTGTGTGTGTGTGTGTGTGTGTGTGTGTGTGCGTGTGTGTGTGCGTGCGCGCACGCGCGCGTAGGGGTGGATATCCACCCACCATTCACCTTATCCACCCTACTTTGGGTCCTGCCCTCAGCCGGGCCCTGCCCTTCCAGGGGGTCCCTTGTTGTCCCTCATGATTCAGGAGTTACTTTCCCTTGAGGACCCCTTACTTGGAAAGATTTGGTCAACCAAAGCCTCTCATGGGTGTTAAAATATCAGAATGCTGCCCAAGGATCTGGCTGTAACACGGAGGCCTCCAAATGGACCCCCAAGGATGGGGGTCATCAATGGTGGTTCAGGCTGCCAGGCAGTGCAGGAGGCCTCTGGGTGGATGGCTCATCTCTGGTTCAAGATGGTTTGGGGCAAAAACTCCAATAAACATATCTGGGGGGAACTGAGGCAGAAGGGAACAGTCTTGTGGGCTGGAGCTTGTGACCCAGCAGGTAGGCCAGCAGGTGGAGGCCAAAGCTGACCCCCAGAGGGGAATGGAGTCAGAGACCCCAGCAGTGGGGCTGGACCTGTGGGCTGAGGAGGTTCAGGGAGCTCTGAGAGTCTGGAAAGGGAGAGGGGGCCAGGCCGCTAAGAGTCTTCAAAGCCAAGAAAGAGCCAGTCCTGCAACGGCAGGGGGTTGTTCAGTTTCTGAGAAGCTGCCCGAGGCTCCACCGCAACTCCTGCAGTGGTACGTGGGCCTTGGGGTCTCTGGGTGGGGAACGCAGGTGGGGCTTCCTTCCACAGATCCCTTGGTGCCCTGACTCACCTAAGACTTCCGTAAATGTTTGTGTGGAAGGTCTGTGAGATCTGAGGGCTCATCCAATCCAAACTTTTCAAGCAACCAAGGCCAGGGAGGGGTGCTGAGCTGCCCAAGGTCAGAAAGCTTGCAAGGCCAGGGCAGCCCAGAACCCAGGTATCCTGTCTCCCGGGCCAGGTTGCACTTCCTGGGCTGTACTGCGCCAACTGCTCCCACTGGGGATCTGTGTAGAGGGCTCTGGGAAGCTCAGGCAGAACGTTTAGTCCCTCCTGGGGCCCCTCATATGTTCCACTGTTTACCAGGGACCGGAACAGTCCCAGTCTGGAAAAAGCCCTGTGTGCCCTGGGGAGGGTGGAGGTGGTGGAGGCTCTGTCCCCGTGGGTGTCTATGTGGTGGAGTAGCTGAGCCTTGGGGCCTGGCTGGTCCACAGGAGGGATTCTTGTGAGGGTGTGAGTGTGTGACACATCACATGGGGAGGGGTAAGAGGAAAGGCAGGAGACGAGAGAGTGTGTGCCATGATGGCCTGCAGGCGGGATCCTGGGTGTGACATGGCCCTCTGGGGTGGCAGAAGGACCTGCCAAACTCAACCGGGAGCAGCGCTGAGCCATGGACAGGCTTTAGAGCCAGCAAGACCAGCGGTCCAAACACCGCTCCGTCCCTTCCTGGCCAGAGAGCCCTCCGAGCCTCAATTTCCACATCTGTAAAGTGGGGGACATGATCCCTCCCTTGGGGGTCCTGTGAGTACCTCAGGTGATGGATGGTTGTGCCCAGCACGGTGCCTGCCATGAGGTACAGGTGACAGGAACTGCGCTGGACTGGCTCCTTGGCACAGGACACAGGGCCTGGCATCATTCAGGACTGGGCAGAACACCCAAATGCCACCATGTCCATGGGTGGGCAAAGGCCAGAGTAGACCCGCTAGGCCCTCCCCTTCACCTGAGCCCATCTGTACCACCAGTATCCATGGCCCCCTCTGGGACAGAGTCAGGAAACTGAGGCCCCAGCCAAGGAGCCATCTGGTCGTGGGCTTGAAGGCCCACCCACTCTCCTAAGGACTGGGGAGATCACCCCATTTTGGCCCTGGCCTCACACCTCCCCTCCCTCTTCCCACAGAAGGAGCCCCCGCACAGTCTGATGGGGCCAGATCCAGAGCCCCTGAACAGAGTGCTGTCAGGAATGAAGGCGGGCACACGTGGACAGAAGGAGGAGCTGGCCTTCACCAACACTGGCCTGAATACCACAGACCTGTGATGGGGGCCCTGCCACAGGACCCTGGCCACAGCGCCCCACATGGGCCCCCACTCTTCTGGGTCACCTCGGAAGAGGCCTTGTTACCCCCAAATTATACCTACCCCTCCCTGAACATAATAAGATATCATGTTGCTCCACCCCCGTCTGCTTGTAGCCAATCACATCTGACAAGAGTTGGGGAAGTATTTTATTACCAATGTATATATTGTGACAGTTTGTAGCCAAAAGCCGCGGCTGGAGGGGTGGGAGGGGCGGGACACGGGTACTGAGTTGTCACAAGGGACTTGGGCTCACAGCACTGGGGGACGGAGAGCTGGAGAGGGTGGTCTTTCAGGGACTACTGTGGTTGTAGAATGAGCTCTCCATCCTGCCCCCAATTACCCAAGACCAGTTGTCACCCAGGCTGTCGTGAGCCTCTGACTCTGATCCCCGGACCTGCCTGAGCCCTCTCCCCTTTCTGTGACTCAGCTGCGTCCCCAGGGCACTCCTGCAGCTGCATTTGGCCTGTCTGGGAATTGTGAACCAGTGTCCAGTGGGGGTGGGGATAGGGTTGGGGATTGGGCCAGGTGAGGGGGAGACAGGAACTGGGGACAACTACCAGCACGCAAGAGATGCCCAGGCCATGGGGCCAGCCCGCCGCATGGACATGCACTCGCATACACCCGGGGCCTTGCACATCGGGGGTCTCACATGTCAATCCTCGCACACTTGGGGTTTTTGTACACAGTCTCTCCCGTTCTGGGGACCTGGCCACCGCTGGAGACCACAGTGCACCAGTCTGGACATCTCAGGAGCCTGCCTCAGCTCTCAGGGCTGGGAGCGTGGGTGCTGAGCGGGTCCCCAGAGGTCGCCCAGTGTGACCGGGAGGGGGTGGAACTGAGGGCTGTGAGGGGACAGTGGGGTGTCAGGGCTGGGTTCGTGGGCTCATGACCACGAGGGAGCCGGGTAGAGGGCGTTCATTTGTGTGTTTAGGAGGGGAGGGGGCTGGAAAGACAGGATAAGACCCTAGAGGCTGCCCGCCCCCTCGGAGGCCTGTCACGCGTCGAGGGGATCCCTTCTAGGGGTCTGGGGTCAAGAAGGGAGCCTGAGAAGGTTGGAAACCCGGGCGTACAAAAGGGGAGCAGATCACTCGGCCGTGGGTCCGGCCCGTGAGCAGCACCGCGGCCGGCGCACACTCTGCAGCAGCGCGCGGAAGAGGCCGGGTGGGCGCTTCGCTGCGCCCTCGGGGGGCGCGGTGCGCACGGAGCCCGCACGGCCCGGGCCCTGGCGCGCGGCGGGCGGCGGCGCGGGTGCCCCTTGGCGGCCGTGCTCCTCGATCTGTCGCTCCAGATGCTTCTGGATGGCCATACCCAGCACCTCCACCTCCATGGCGGCGCCGTACACCTCCCACGTCATGCCCTTTTCGTCCCAGCTCACGTCGCGCACCGGCTCAGCGGCCTCTGGGGGCGCCACGGCGGCCGCCAGTGCGGAGCCCGGCCGCACCCGCACTTCGGGGAAGGCGGGCGGCGCGGCGGCCTGCGGCGTCATGGGCTCCGTGGCCACGGAGCGTGTCTCAGCGGCGCCCAGTGACACCTGTAGGCCCGCGTCCCGGCGAGAGGGCGGCCTGGGTGCGGGGCTGGGTGCGCGCGGCGCCGCCTGGAAGCTGAAGGCCGAGCCGCCCCCGCCGTCCTGCGGAGACATGGGGCTCACGGCCACCGACACGCAGGCCTGCGAGCCCGCCTGGGTGCCCGCGTCCTCGCGTGGCGGCGTGGCGCTCGCCTCCCACGACGGCGCCTTGGTGAAGTTGTCGCGAGTTCGCGGCCCCGGAGACGGCGCTACGGCCTCCAGGCCCGGGTTTCTCTCGGCCCTAGTGGCCGCCGGGTCCTTCTGGCCAAGGCTGCAGGCCTCGGAGCTGGGCAGTGGCGCTGGCTCCACGCGACCCCCGCTATCCGCGGGGTAAGAAGCGGAGCCACAGGGTTTGTCATCTGCCTGCCTGGAGGAGGAGGCCTCCGCCTTCTCCAGGGTCAGGTGGGCCTGCTTCCCCGAGGATGGGGGTTCCCCTTTTCTCTGAGGCGCAGAGTCAGTCTTCCCCAGGGCTACAGGCTCCAACTTCCCAGAGACAATAGAGGATCCAGGATCCCCCTTCTCCGAAGTCAGCGGCTTCTCCTGCAAAGATTTAGCCTCTGCTTTTCCTGATGAGGCGGTGCCCTCCTGCCCAGGGGGCCTTGTTTCTGCTTTGCCCTCAGACTTGGGTTCTGCTTTCCCTGAAGCCCTGGGATCCACCTTCGTGGAGTTCATAGGATTGCCCTTCTCTAGAGGCAGAGGATCCACCTTTCCCTCTGGGACAGCTTCTGCTTTTCCCGAGGATGCCTGGACTGTTTTTCCTAGGGTCGTGGGGGCCACCTTTCCTGCAGACTCAGAGTTCATGTCTCCAGGGGGAACAGTTTCTGCCTTTTCCTTGCATATAGGGTCCACTTTACCCAAGGTGGGGGGATCAGCCTTCCCTGAGGCCATGAGACCCATCTTTCCAGAGGCCACAGGACCTGACTTTTCTGAAGATAGTGGATCTGCTTTTCCTCCAGTCACTGCCTCAGCTTTTACAGAGGATGGGGGACCCGCTGGACCTGAGGACACAGGGTCTATCTTTCCTGATGATTCAGGATTCACTTTTCCAGAAGATGATGTTTTTGTATTTCCCACAGAAATGGGATCCCCCTTTCTGGAGGACACTGGGTCCTCCTTTCTTGAGGATGCAGTTTCTGTCTTTCCCACAGACATCAGTTCTGCCTGTCCAGGAGACAAGGGCTCTGGCTTTCCTGAGGACACAGGATCCACTTTTCCCAAAGAAACTGGACCTGTCTTGCCTGAAGACACAGGGTCCATGTTTTTCAAAGATGTGGGATCCATCTTTCCTGAAAACATGGGATCCACCTGTCCAGTAGACATGGTTTTTGTCATTCTCATAGACATGGACTCTTGCTTTCCTGAGGAGGCAGGATCCATCTTTCCCAGGTCCTCTTTTGTAGAGGACACGGTTTCTGCATTAACCATAGTTGCAGGTTCTGTCATCCTTAAGTGAGTAGGATCCACCCTTCCAGATGACCCCAGAGCCACTCTTCCAGGGGATACAGGCTTGATTTTGCCTGATGACCCTGGAGTCAGCATTCCCAAGGACCCGGGATCTGTCTTTCCTACAGATGCAGAATCCGTGTTTTCCAAGGACATGGGATCCACCTTTTCGGAGAGCTCAGGATCTCTCTTTCCCAAGGATACAAGCTCTGTCTTTCCTGCAGATGCAGGACCCACCTCTTCTGAGGACACTTGAAGGTCTTTTCCCGAGTACCTGGGCTCCTCCTTTTTTGGGAATGCAGGATCCACTTTGCCCAAGGATACAGGATACTCCTTCCTTGCAGACATTGTATCCACCTTGCTGGAGCACTCAGGATCTACCTTTCCCAAGGATCCAGGATCCTCCTTTCTTGGGGTCACAGGATCCATCCTTCCAGAAGCCGCAGGATCCCCTTTCCCCAAGATTACAGGCTCTGTCTTTCCTGTAAACATGGGATCTGCCTTCCTCAAGGACCCAGCATCTTCTTTTCCTATGGAAATGGAATCTGCCTGCTTTGAAGACTTGGAATCCATCTTCTGTAATAACATAGGATCTCTGTTTTCTGAGGATGAAGGGTCAGTTTTCACTGAGGACACAGGCTCTGGCTTCCCAGAGAAGGTGGTTTCTGGTGTCCCTGAGATCAAGGCTCCATGTGTCCCTAATGTCTCCTTGGTGGCTGCCTCCTGGGGAGGGATGCAGGTCAGGGAGGGGAAGGCCAAACTCCTGCCAGGGCCCTCAGAGCAGGATGCCCTTTCCCCAGCCCCAGTGGGGCTGCTGTGTCTAGAGTCCATGCCTGGGCTTTGGGCAGGGGTGTGCCTTGGGGGTGCAGGGCTGGCCTTTTGCTGGGAGGGGCAGCAGTCCCTCATGGCCGGGCTCCCAGCCCCCAGGCTCCCATCCTGTGGGCAGCAGAGGGCTGTGGGCTGGTGTCCTGGGGGGCTGGAGTCCTTTCGAAGCAGCTGGAGCCAGGCTGGGTCTTCAGCGCTGCCCAACTGCCCTCATGACCATGCTTGGGCCCCAGGTTTCTGTCTGGTTCTGAAACACAGAGAGAGCAGACTCAGACTCAGACTCAGAGGGGATCCAATGGGGAGGAGCCTCCATCTGGGCCTCCTCCTTCTCACTCTCTTTCTAGCAGGCGGGGCTTCTCACCACGTTCTCTGCCTTTGTCTGGTCCCTTCCTGCCCATAGGGTCTGGGCTAAAAACATGAACCCAACTATGTCATTCCCCTGCTTCACTGCTCCCAGTGGCCCTCTGGATAAAGGTCAGTCTTCCTAAAATGGCATTCAAGGCCCTTCACAACTTGGCCACAGTCTAACTTTTCCACTCCATCTACCATCACCCCTCCCTTATCAGACCACCCCATGCAACATGCGACCTAGAAGTTATGCTTTTCTCCTTTAGGCCATGGGTCACAAATTCTGATGCCATAGGAGCCAGGTAGGTAATTTAATTGAGGGAAACAGACTGGGTACAGAACAGTAGGGAGTGGTGGGGACTAAGGCAAAGTGGAGAGCACATGCCCTGTCTAAAGGGGGAGCCATACTCCATCAGCCAAGTACTGCCCTGGAGAAATGCATCTTAGTAGTATCAGTCAGAAGTGGGAAATATAGAAGTTTACTGTAAAATATCCCAATTAATTCAAGATTAAAAAAAAAACAAAAACAGTATGTGGCCCAAACAAAATATGTCTGCAGATCACCAGTTTATGTCTGTGTAGGCCCTGGGGAGATGGGAATGGTTTACAGTCAAGGAAAGGACACAGTCTGAAATGTGTGTTTTCAAAGATTGCTTAGGGATGGTGTGGAGGCTGGAGGGGAGGGGCTGGCCAATCATTTACTCAATCTCTCATTCATCTAATTCTTCATTCGTTTACCCAGCCCCTTCTCTGTGACAGTCTAGATGAGAGATGGTACAGCGAAGGTTGTGGGAATGAAGAGTTGGCAGGATTGAGAGGTCTGAGGGAAACTAACAGGAACCAGCTGGCGGTAAGAGGTGATGGTGGGGGTGGCCTGCAGGATGCTGGCTAGGGTGGCGGGTGCTGGACGACAGATCCGGGAAAAGGGGGAGTTGCATTTTGGACAAGCTGAGTGTGTGGTGCCTGGGGGATATCCAGGGAGAGGGTCTGGCAGGCAGCTGGATCTGCATGCAACTCTGTTTTATTATACACTCGGTGGCCAAAGCAAGCAGAGTTCCCAATTCCCCCCAGACCTCTTCCTCCTGCCATCTTCTCCAAAGCCATATTGCTGGTGCTCAGGCCAATACCCCATGACTTTTTCTCACACCCAGCATCCCATCATCAGCAAAACATAATGGATCTACCTTCAAAATATATGGAGAATTTGGCCACTACCCTGAGCCAAACCTGCACCTTCTCCCACCTGGATTATCCTTGCTTTTTCCTTCACCCCATATAGCTTTTTCTCAACACAGGAACCAGAGGGATCTTAGTAAAACTCAAGGTAGATCATGTCCCTCCTCTGCCCAGAACCATGCAATGTCTCGCCATCTCATGCAATGTAAAAGTAAACTCCTTACCATAGCCCACAAGTTCCTGCATTTTCTGGCCCCGTCACCGCTCTTGGCCTTGTCTCCTACTGCTCTCCTGTGATTACCCTGCTTCAGTCACCCTGGCTGCCCCGCTGATCCTTGAACCCACTGCCTTGGGGCCTTTGCACTCGCTCTCTCCTCTGCCTGAAATGCTTTCCTTCCCAACATCTGCATCTCCCTGAAGCTCTCCCTGAAGCTCTCCCTGACCCACCCTGTGTAAAATTGCCTCCTTCGCAACACTGGCTGACGCTTTCCATCCCCCTTGCCCCGATCAGTTTTTCTTCATGGTACCTGTCTCCAGCCACCATGTTGCATGTTTGTTTATTGCTCGTGATTTGTCTCTCCCATCAGAATGTCAGCTCCAGAAGTGTGGGGACTTTGCTGTATTTACTGATGTGGTCTCAGGGTTGAGAACAATGACTGGCACATAGTAAGCAAGTGGCTCCCAATAAATATTCATTAAATGAATGACTGAATGACCTGTCTATGATGCTAGTCCAACCATGCCACTCCTCGGCTCAAAACCCTCCTTGCTTTTTCGGGGGAAGTAAATTGGTTGTAATGTTTTTGGAAGGACATTTATCAATTCTTATCAGTTTACAATGCATACAGCATTTGGGCCAGCAAGCCCACCTCCGGGGTGGTCTTGAAGACAGACAAATGGTGCATGAGAACATGGCTGGTGATGAGAAGAAAACCAGGAAGTGGGTTTGTAAAATGTGGGGCAAGCACAGAGGACCTCCCCTCCCCCACAGCTGTTAGAATGTGTGGAGTGATGAGGAAAGATGCCCAAGATAAATTAAGTGAAAAAAAGCCAGAGGATAGCATGGCTAGTGGGATCCCATGCGGGTAGGCAAGGAAAAGGACAAACACACATCTGTAGGTTTATTTATAAAGAGAAAATTTCTGGAAGGAAACCCATGAAACTTTTAGCAGTGATTGCCTTTGTGAAGCGAGACCAGGGATCTGGAGGTGGAAGAGACTTTTTTTTGAATGCCCCTTTGTGACACTTGAATTTTGGTTGTGTGCACATATTTTTTAAAAAACAGGAAAAAAAAAAAACTTTTAATGACTCCCTGTTACTTATAGGGTCAAGTTCCAACTCTTCAATGTGCTTCTAAGCCCCTGTGTATTTACACACCTGCTGGGTTTTATCTTTCATTATGCACTCCATCCCCCAAAGCATGTGTACACACAGACACACAGACACACAGACACACACACATGAAACCTCTTTGGGTTCAACCATGGGTTCACATTCTTTCCAATCTTGGCCTCTACACACCTTCCCGCTCGGCTCTTATTAAACCTTCAGTCCTCCGTTTAAATGCCTCCTCCTCCAGTGAGCCTTCTTTGCCTACCAGCTTCCTCAGGGTCCCTGTGGCCTCTTGTTCTGCCCCTAACCAGACTCTTGTCATTCTGCTTGTAGCCCTTTACACCTCTGGGTCCCCGCCTAGCCCTCAGGTCCCTGGATGGGGACTCAGCTGGTATTGTTCACGACTGGGTCCCCCAAGCTTTGGGCATATGAGACTTGCGGGGGTGAGGGTTATCACCAAAATGGGGGCATGGGGGGAGGGGCAGTTTGCAGAGGATGGTGTGGGACTGGGTTTTGGGAAGTTGAACTGGGGTGCCTGGGGGACTTATAGGGGAGATATCCAGGAGGCTGCTGGGAGACAGGTTTGAAACACAGGAGAGGTCTGCTGCAATTCTTTGGATCTGGTTTTCATCAGCATAAAAATGGCAGGTGTATGGGGAGCCTGGGCTGGAACTGGAAGGAGTCACCAAGGGCTATAGGAGGTGTGCTCTGAGTCTTCACCACCCTTCATTTCACCCCTGGTAGCTCAGCCCTGGGGTCCTCTCACACCAGCCCCTCCAACAGGTTCCCTCCCCCTGGGTGAGGCATGGGTAGTAAGTTGGGACAGCTTCCTGATTTACCAGCTTTGTGACCTCAGGCCAGTCCCATCTCCTCACTGGGGACCCTAACAAACCCACCCCCTGCTCCCACAGGGCTGCAGGGAGAATTAAAGATGAGGGGTGTGCACGTCTCTGCTACTTTAGGGCTGGGCTGTGTACATGCAAGGCCTGTTTTTATCTAGTCAGCCTGTCAGAGCCCAGCTGTGCTCCCAGGAGGGGGCAGGGGAGGGAGAGCCAGCAGCACAGGCACAAACTGGCAAAACCTCACCCTTGGACATGCTTGATTAACTCGGAGTGCTTAAAAAAATTTTTTAAGGAATTTAGTCATCAACATTTAAAAATTAGAAGGTTTCATGTAAAAATCAGATTTCTAGCTTCTCTTGGAGAACTAAAACTTGGCAATCTGAGCATGCTTCCTGCATGGCAGCAGTCAGCTGGAGCCAAGCAGTGGCTACTTCCTTAGTTGGGGGCACACTCTCCAATTAGCCACCATCTCTACCCCTCCCAGTGGTGTCCTGGACACTGAGGTTGACTGCCCGCTGCCACTGATCACTGATTTGCACCGTCATTCTTCTTATAGCAGCCTTTCATGCATGCTACCCATCCGGCCTGTAGCCACCTGAGTTTTGACCCTTGACCTAGATGCCAAGAAAGGTGGGAGGTGACCTCAAGCCCTTACTATGCTTATTATGTGCAGATCCCATACACTTTCCAGCAAGATGTTGTGTTCTTATTTTCCAGAGAAGGAAACTGAGGTTCCAAGAGGCAGGCATGGCCCAGCTGGTAACATACCCCTTCCAAAAGTCCTCCTGGAAGAGGCAGGCTTCTTAGTTCTCAGCTCACAATTCTCTGATACGGGATAAGGTCCCGGATTGGGACAGAGAGCCTGGCCAGGGAGTTAGAAAGATGTGGGGTCAAGCCCCAGCTTAGTCATTGACTTGCGACATGACTTCGGGTGAGTTTTTACCACACCCTGAATCTCCGTTTCCCAATCTGTGAAATGGGGGAGAGGATGTAGTTATATTTAGTAGAGCTGGCTGAGCCCTGGGTTTAAGATCTGCCAAGATACCATTCCCAGAGGCCCTGCTGCTCACAGTTCTGCTAGACTTTTCCTGGCTCTCAAAGAAGCCTCGGTATCCTCCAGCCTCTTCTCCAAAAGGCAACTCAGGCCTGGGGCCCTAGCTCCTCACCTCCCATCTCCCACTGGAACCCAGCTCCATCACTCTCCCACTGTGTGCTCAGCCCTGGTCGCAGCATTCTCAGGCTCATTTTAGCACCTGGACTCCACAACAATCTCTTGAGGGGGGCATTATCATCCCATTTCACAGATGAGGACACTGAGGTCAGAGGGAGAAAAGACTTGACCAAGGGCACACAGCTGGGATGGGGGGCTCTGATTCAAAGACTGTTTTGTCTGAATCCAAAGCCTGGTTCTTCCCACTCATATCAGCTGAGATCCTGGACACTGATGCTTGGCCCTTAAGACCCCTTTCTGCTCTTCAGGGTCATGCCAAGGGTCCTCCCAATCCCCTGGACCTAACAGGCAACAGTGTGAGGGATCGTCTAGGAAAGGAAGCAAGAGTGTCCTCCGTGCGGGAACCCACCTTTGGGAACACCTTATGAGCAGATGAGCCTGCGCATTTCTCCCGCCCGGTTGAGGTAAAAGGTTGAAATGACCCCCAGTTGTATGGGCTGGCTCACCCAGCATGCAGGAGAGCATGTAGGTGGCTTGTGGACATCTGCACCAGCTTAGGCCAGCCTGGGGAGCCAGGGCCTGGCTCCTACCTTCTGCTCAAGAACTTGGTGTGCACATGTGCAACCTGTATGTGCAGAATTCCCTGTGTCTCATGGTGGCCACTTGGACCCTGTGGGTATGCACATGCATGGCCACATGGCCTCAGAGCCTCACTCATAGAAGAGATGGCCTGGGTATGTGCACAAGTGATTGTGCCCTGCTGCCAGGCAGAGAAGCCCCTGTGAATGCTCACTCAGGCCCAGAGACCTGACCAGCCAGTTATTTTCCCTTTAGGATTTCTTCCCTAATTGGAGCCAGGGCGCCAGGCACCTGCAAACGCCTCCTCCCATGGTGATAAGATTGACAAAGGCTTGTGGTATTTCAGCAGGTGTGTGAGAAAGAGTGTGTGGGTGTGTGTGTGTGTGTGTGTGTGTGACAGTCCTGGTGTGCTGTACTTCACCCTCTCATCCCCTTGTCTCCTACAACCCTCAGAGCAGCAAAGCTTCCTCCCTGGGGCTGGAGGGGAGATGGAGTCTAGCAAAGGGTGATGACCAGTCTTCCTTCCAGAAATGGCCTCCAGACCATCCGTCCATCTATCCACAGGAGAGCAAGACTAGACATGCAGGAGTGGGTGTGTGTGTGTGGAGAGCAAGCTAAAAGTGTGTGACGGAGTGTGTGACTTGCCTGCTCTGGGGTCCGGGGGTACATGAGGGATACCATGACGTGCAGCTGTGAATAGGCGCAAGCAGGCCAGAGCAGGATGGCTGCGAGTGCTTTGTGATCGGGGAGTATTGCTGAGTTGAGTGTGCTGTGATAGGCAATGGCTGGTGTGAGTGTGTAGCTATGCCTGGGTGTGTACCAAAGGTGTACGGGGTGGGTGCACAGGTGACCATGTGTATGAGTCTGATGGAATGATCAAAGGACACAGTGTGTGTAGACCTGTGGCCTCGAGCGGTGAGTGTGTGACACTGTGTGTGATGGAGCCCCAGAGTGTATTCCACAGTGAGCGTGCGACAGCGAATGTGCTCCATGGTGCCAATAGAGCCACTCGAGCGCCGAGCTCGCTCCGGGGGGAAAATGAATCAACGCAGGCCGGACCCCTCCCCGCGATGGCGGGAAGCGCCCCCTCCCGCACCACCGCGCCAAACAAAGCGGCAGTCAGCGGCGAGGCCAGGAGCGGGGCCGGGGTCTTACAGGCTGGGCTGGCCCGCAGGACCCCTCGGGTGCTCGGCCAGGACTGCAGACCCACCCCCGCCCCGCCCCTGAGTGGAACCTGGAAATGGACACCCGCCGCCCGGGCCGCGCGCGTACATTCACCCGGGCGCACGCCAGACACACGCTGCGCACGGTGCCCAAACCCCGCCACCCAGGAGGTTCGAGAACCCTGGACAGCGGCTCTGGGGCGGCTGCGAGCCGAAGAAGGCGGTCGACACCGCCCCCCTGGAGCGGGCAGCAGGTGCAGGCGCGGCGCTTACCCGGCTGTGCCGCCGTTCCGTCTCCTCGGCGCGCTGCGCTCCGACTCCCGTCACCGCCACCGCTACGGCCACCGCCGCCGCCCGAGCTGCCTCGGCTGCCTCCGGCAGGGCTGGCGGGCGGACCCGCGGACTCCGCTACTCCGTCCCCCGCGCCGGCTCCGCGCTCCAGCCCCGCGCCCCGCCCCGGACATGCGCACTGGCCGACTCGCGGCCTCAGAACCGGGGAGGGGGCGGTGCCCGCAGGGAAGCAGGGACCCAAAGGAGGGAGGGGCGCCCCTCGCCCGCCGCCCCTCACCATGGTCGCTGGGCTCCTGGATTCCCCGCCCTCCTCGACCCGGTTCCCATTTCACAGACAGGAGACTAAGGGGTGGAGAGGCTGCCTATTTGCTGCGCTCCTGTTGAGGGAGGGGCGCGCTGTTAGATCTCACTCAATCCAGCCCGGTGAACGCTCTCTGCTTGTTTCACCGAGGAGGAAATTGGGGCCCAGAGAGGGGAAGCCGCTTGTCCGCGGATACTCGGCCCCTGGAGCGGGACCCAGGTCTGCGCGATCTCCGAGCTCCCCCTGCGCGGAATTTCCCGCCTCCGCCTTGGCCGTACTTCCGGCCTTCTCCCCCTCACCTCGCCCCGCCTCCGCCCCCTTTGTCTCGCCTCCACCCACGCTCCCGGGAGTGGAGGGACCTGCGTGGTCGGGGGAGCGCCTTCGATTTCCCCGCTACCGGCCTCCCTAGCCGGGGTGCCCGCCCACCTTCTAGTCTGTGCAAGCCGGGTTCTCCTCCTCCTGGGTACCCTCAAGCAAATCATTTCACCTCTCCGAGTCTCGATTTCCCGATCTGTAAGGTGGGACTAACATTAATCACCTCACAGTAAGTGGTCTTGGAAGGATGAAGGAGCCTGAAGTAGGTGTTAAGGGCCTTCCAGCTGAATCTGAATTGCCAAGGACATGAGGACTTGCTGCCCACCCTGCCTTAACGTTTCTCGGCAGAGAAATTGTCCCCTCCCCTTTGACTTCCCAGAGGAGAAAAAATAAGTCTGTAATTGCCAAGAGGTGATAAAGCCCTCTCGCTTGTACTGTGAAACCACCTACTAAAAATGGTAACAACTAACGTTAATATAATGCTTATTTAGGGGCAGTGTTTTTATGGTAAAGCCCGCAAGTTAACCTAACAACTAACGTTACCTTAATTTTGTTTTCCGGTTTCATCTCATTTCAATTTCCAATCACTTATAAGCAAGTTAATATTAATGTATTATATCCCCGTTTTTCAGATAAGAAAACTGAGATACTGATGATAAATCATTTGTCTGCGTTAGTAGTGAAGCTAACTCCTGAAACTTCAAGCTTCACCCTTACTTTCTATTCCTCTCACTTACCTGGTGAACCATAAGTCACCGTGATCGTTTAAAAAAAATTATTATTATTTTTTAAATCTAGATGGCAAATGAAGAAAAAAAAAAATCTAACGGATGACGTCTTTAGCCAGCATCCCAGAGAAGCCAAAAACGGGAGCACAGAACCAATTTTCAGCACCACGGACAACACTCATGCAAGGGCAGCTTCCCCAAGTCTCTGGCCCTGAAAATTGCTCATTCATTGCCACAGTGGCACTTCGCTTCACAGTTTACAAACCCTATTCTATGCTCATCGTTTCATTTTACGTTCCCTACAGTTCTTCAAGGTAAACATCATTGGCTCCATGATACAGATGAAGACATCGAGGCTTGGGCAGGTTCACAAGACATGAAAAGTAGCAAGAACGTGGCTGTGATCTAAAAAGCGCCCCCCCACCCCCACCCCGGGGCAGGGCGAGTGCGGATGGGAGCAGGATCAGGGCATGAGTGAGGAGGCCGTAGCAGCTGCCCAGGTGAGAGGTAATGATGCCTGAACCATTGGGATGGAGAGGAGGGGCCAGATCTGATAACTATTTAGGGGTAAAGTCAACACGTCTACGTCATGGGGTGGATGTGAGTGTGAGTGGAGAGAGGATTCTGCTGCCCCTCTGAGGTTCTGCCTTGGGGAGCCAAATGGTTGGAGGACAGATACCTGATAAACCGTGGGGAAAGAAGGGAC